ACTTTCATCATAAATACAATGGAATGTCTTTCTCTATAAAATACACAGCACTGGACAAATATTTGTATTATCTTTAATAATTTTATAACAAAATGCAGATAAAATGTTAGCATGATACAATAATAAAATTAAATATAGATAAGTGAGAAACCCACCACTGCTTTTCTAATGGACTATCTCTAAGAAGCAGTGTGTTACAGAAGGCGGAGTAGCGGGGTTGGTCAGCTGAGTCTGCATGTACGTTCTGTCTCTCCGTATTTAGCTCTGTGCCTTTCATGCAGTGAAAGGTAATGATGTATGGAGGACTGAAGGCTATCTCCTTGCCTGTAAAGTTAAGATGATAGCTATCTCACAAGAGTGCTATGAAGATGAAAGGCAACAATGCTTGTATCAAACTCAGCAGAGTGCTCAGCTACTTGGTTTAGTTTTATGCTTACATAGTTGAAAAATATTAAGACTTAATATTTCAGTTTCCAAAATAAAAGCATACTTAAGTCTTACATTAAAACTGAGACTTCTGACAGTCAAAAGACCTTTCATAAAACAGAAATGCAAGCTGGGCGTTGGTACACGCCTGTAATCTCAGCACCTCCAAGGCTGAGGCCTGCGGACTGTTGCCAGTGCAAGACCAGCCTGAACTACATAGTGAGACCCTGTCTCAAAAAGACAACAAACAAACAACCCCCCCAAAAAACACGAAACTAAGAAATGCAGTAAAATTTCTAGTTCCTATTCTATATTCTAGGGAACTATTTTTTCATTAGTCAAATCCAAAGGGTCAAATAAGAGTTTACAGCATTATCATTCTTGCTTGTGAATATCAGCAATATTTTTCAAGGAAAAATAATACTAAAATACTATAAAATTAACGATCATGCAAAAAAATCTTGAGAATAAAAGCAAATGTATGACAAGGACTTTAACAAAGCATATGAGAAATTTGGTAGATACCTGTAAATTAGGCTGGTAGCAGAGAAAAATGTACATTTTTAATGCTTTACATTGACCACAGTAAATCTGGATGAGACTAGCTGCAACCTGTGATTCCCCACAGAGACAAAATAGGGCAGGTTCACAATACTCAGACAAGAACAGAATGCAAAGACTAACAAAGTAATGCAACAGGGCTGTGGGTTTAGCTTAGTGGCACAAGCGCCCACTTGGCAAGTGTGAGGTCCTGAGTTTGATCCCCAGTACTAAAAAAAAAAAAAAAGCAATAGGAATGTGACAGTTATTTTTTACACATAGCTTATGCACTGTCATTAAGGATCCAGTAGATTCTGAAAAAATTAAACTTTACAGGCATTCATCATAATTTTAACAACCTGATTTCGCTAAGCTATCATGTGATTTTGTTAAGAATTTCTCCTTAACAAGATGTCTCCATAACTTTCACAGTCAAATAAAACAAAGAGCAGGATAAGGAAACTTCACCTAAAATAGGGAAGTTTTATTTTTAGCTTAGCAACTAATTTTTTCCTCTGTTTCCTGTTTCTTCTTATGTAAAAGTGACATGAGCTTATTCATAAAGAAAACAAAAATCTGAGTGCTAAAGCCCTCTAAGTTTTGCTGTGACTTTCACGTTTCCTATCACCCAGCATTATAGTGGTCAGGGAGTATACAAAACTACCTGTTAACCTTTATATGTCAGTGTGAACATAATTTTGTATAATCTTAATGGAAGGGAACTTAGGATATCTAACGTAATATATATGCATAGACTCCCTGACCCTATTAAGCTTCTGGGAGTTTACCTTTGGATATATTTGTCCACCTACAAAATGACGCATGATCCAAAATACGTGCCACAGTACTCTCTGTAAGAATAAAAGGCTCAAAAAAAAAAAAAAAAAAAAAGAATGAAAGGCTGGAAACACCCCACATTTTTGTCTATAAGAGATGGATTTAAATAAAGCATGGCCCTATAATAGAGTATTATATAGCCATTAAAAAGAGAAAAAGAAAAGGGGAAGACAGGGAAAAAGTAAGAAAGAGAACATTTTACACATATACTAACTGGGAAAGATTTCTAAGATACAACAGTAAGGAAAAATTCTAGGTAGAAAATTAAATTACAAACATATTCATGTATTTATGAAGAAAATATTAGACTATAAAAGAGGAAGGAGCAGGGGTGAGGGGGAACAGGACAGATGGTAACAGGTGAACAAAGTCGACCAAAAATATGTATCTTTAAATATTTTTAAAGTTTGTGAACACTACAATTTTTAAAATTAAAAAACTCTAAATGGATGATGGAAAAAAAAAGCCAAAATATAGGTCTAAAAAGTACATAAAACTACTCAGAAAAAGATTAACATAAAAATTAAAATAATAATAATGTACTCACAGATGGAGTAATTTAAAACACACAAACTGGTCATTAATTATGGAACCTGTAATTTAAAAAGTCTACTTGGGATATAATACAGTGGACCCTCGAATTACAACCAGCCTCACATACAAACAACTTGGGCTCTGACCGGAATTTTAGGTTTAATTTATCACCAAAGTCTTGAGGTACAACCCAGATGCTGGCAACTTGTGCAGCTGTAAACAAAGACTTGCAATGCTAAAAAAAAACATATGTAAGTCTGTGTGAGTGTCAGTCTGAGCCCAGATGCAGGTTTGAGGGCTTGATTTCAGTCAGTGATTTATAAAATCTCGATGATTACTACTATCAAAATGGTCCACAAAAAGCTAGAAAAGCAGCTAAGGAAGGAAGGAAAGGTAAAGAAAGAAATCACTATCTCAAAGGAAACTGCGGAGAAATGGAAGACTGGCATTCATGCGATCAATGTCACTAATATGAACAGCAAGTCAAAATCCACCATCTCAACAACTGTACAGAGAGAAGATTTGTATGAGAAGCTAATGTTGCTAAAGGTGTTGCTTAAATTAGCAAGTCATGACCAACAGTGTTAGACCAAGTCGTGAGGCTGTGATTACTGTGGATAAATGAAAGGCAGAAGGCAAGTGATAGCCTAAGTCTGAAATCTGTGAAAAAGCAAGGGCTGGAAATGCAGATCACAGAAAAGATAATTCATCAATGAGTGATAATGAAGAGACATTTCATGCCAGTAAAGGGTGCTTTCATAATTTTAAAGTGAGAACCGGGATTCATGGCACGACCAGGCGTGGGAAAATAGGCAGTGCTGATAAAAGGGCTCCTGAAAATTACACGTACACCACTCCAACGCAGTGACACAGAAAAGTGGCTTCTGCTCTCATCAAGTTTCCAACTTTGATGAAACTGGCCTTTTCTAGAAGAAAATGCCTGGAACATACATTGTCCAGGAAAAGAAGAAAATGCCAGGCCCAAGTCTATGAAGAATAGGCCAACATTACTGCTAGGGTGACCTTAAAATAAAGTCTCTCTTGGTTTATCACTGAGACCCCTAGTGTTCAGAAAATAAAATCATAGCGCACAGCCTAGGGGCCATGTAGAGATCTAATGCAAAGGCCTGGGTGACTAGAGTATTTTTTTCTTGGGTGGATCAGGGAGGTTTTCTGTCCTACTGTTAACATCAAGAAGACAAAGCTTTACCCCCAAGGCTCTTCTCATCATGGACAATGCTCCTGTCACCCACATGATTTGGAAGCACTTGCTGAAAAATTCCAATGGTCTCAGTCAAGTGCACTTCACCTACTACAACTATCCTGCAGCCTACAGACCAGCAGGGTATAGTTAACTTTTAAGAAGTTACACACCAAGGAACTGTTTCTGAAGTGCTTCCAGAAGGTCTCAGATGTAGATTTAACCCCTGAAGAGTTCCAGGAGGAACACTGTCACATCCTTTCCTGTGTCAGGTTAACTGAAAAATCCTGGGCCAGTGTCTCTGTAAGGACACTGAGAACTATCTGCCTGGAAGAAAGTCTGGCTTAAACCTATATGGTAGATTGACTTTGAAGGAGCCTGAACCTTTGACTGGCCCTGTGGTCAATGATGTTGTCACTATGGCAGAGTCCACTAGCTTTCTGGTAGACCACGATGACACTGAGGAACCAGTGGAGGAACACTGAGTGAAACTACAGAAGAACTTGAGTTGAGCAACACAGAACGGCACCTGAAGAGCTTTCTGAAGTTGTAGTGATGAAAATCAACCATCAGTGTAGCACAGTTCTGCTGAAATAAAGGAAACCCTGAAAAACTGGACAGGGCTACAAACATTTGTAGAGAAGACTCACTGAGTCAGAGAAAAAGCCAATCCTTGCATTCACTTGCTTAATGACAATGCCATATCATACCACAGAACAGTGTTAAAGACAGAACCAGAAAACCTTAGATCAGTTTTTATTTCTGAAAAGGCTGAGACCTAGTGAGCCAGAGGCAGGGCATAGTGTACACATACTCTCCCAAGGAGAGAAAGGACACCACTCAAGCGGATTCCTGATGTTTTTATGGAAGGAGACTCTCCCTGTAAACAGTGACTACCTGGGGCCAGGCACATAGCTCAGAGGCACAAGTGCCTATCTGGGAAGTGTGAGGTTGTGAGTTTGATCCCTGGCACCAAAAACAAAACAAAACAAAACAAAACAAAACCCTCCACCACCACCAACTGCTACTTTTGTTTCATTTTCCCTTCCTGTAAGTCAAAGATACCAACTTGAGAATGGTGAGGAGAGCATGAAATTGGTTGTTTTTTGGTAAACGAGGCACATTTTGTAACTTTTTGGTGAATATACTGGGAAAACTATTAATGTTTCTGGAAATTACACATATTATACTACTCTTTCATTATGAAAAGGTTAATTAAGGGGTGCTTTGGGAGGTTTGCTATTCTGCATTCTGGCTATTGCCATTATTTCTTATGGGGAAAACAGTCTTGACCTGTAGTCAACTTGAGTTACAACCAGAACTTGCAAATGAACTGAGTTTGTAAGTCAAGGGTCCACTGTATTATATACAGTAAGTCTTAGTGAAGGACAAATGTTTTACAGAGACATAATCCCATCACACATATGACACACATCAATCTGGACTGAAATGCTATGATTACCTTTATCATTTCTTCTTCTCCTGCTGTTTTACTTTTTGCTTCTATATCACCTGCTTCATTGCATCTAATAAAGCAACTATTTGAGGCCAATAAGGCCATTTTTCCCTAAATAAAACAAAACAACAAAAAGCAGAGCTATGAGGATACATGCGGAAGAAATATTAAATCTTTGTACTAAATTTTTTGTTTAACCAGTTCTAAAATCAAGAAAAGAAATTTAGAGAAAACTTGAAAACACAAAAAAAGGAACCCAAAATCATCTATACTATTACTGCTCAAATATTACCACATAAACTTTTTGAGCATATTTTAGCAGTATTCTAACTAGTAAAATAAGATTTTCTTTTCTCAGTACCGGGAGTGAACCCAGGGAACAGTGAACTACATCCCCAACTCTTTTAAAAATATCATTGGGGGATAGGGTCTTACTAAATTGCCCAGCCGCGCTTCAAGCTTGCAATCCTCCTGCCTCAGCTTCCTCAGTAACTGGGATTACAGGCATGTATGAAACAGGACTTTCTTTGGTCCACAGAAAAAAGTCTATTGATAATGTAGCTGATTTAACTCAGTTAAAATTATTATACCTTTAAAGATGAAGTTATGAACAATACAAAATACTGTGTTAATGTTTTATGTGAAATTCCTTTTACAACTGGAAACTATAAAAAGGTATCACATAAAAACAAGCCTGCGGTACCTTTGACTTTACATTAGGAATCAGTGTCTGAGGGACTCATATATGGAATGATACTTTATTATTACACTACTTTTTACTAAGCAATACTTTGAACAGTAGTTTTCTTTATACCTGTCACTGAATTACAAAATTTATTAAATTCCCTTAACAAATTTAAGGCTGAATCAGATCTTGTATTTGGGTTTTTTTAATTTTGAGAAAACCTGAAATAGTTTATACATCAAACAAAATATTCACAAATAGAGTAATTACAAAATGTTTTAATAACATCACATAACATCCAGTTTAACAAGTGCTAATGGCACAGACTGTTAAATTCTCACACAGTGAGAGGCTCTGGGTTATGTGTCACTTTGATGGCTCTTGGAGAGTACCAGAATATGGTTTGAAGGGGATTTAAGCCTGTGCTGCAGATCAGTCAGTTGAGTCCCTTTTTAAAATAAAGTTTAACTTGTGATTCTTAAATTTAAATTATTCAGAGTTACGACTACAGAGATGGGAAGAGGATCTGAGGAAAGAGGGAAGGATAAGGGCAGGGGAAGGAGGAGTAATATATTAGATACATGTACCAGTTTCCCAAGATCAATGTAATTACATGTGGTAAAAACATAAGGTTAAGGGCTGAGGATTTAGCTCAGTGGCATAAGCACCTGCCTGACAAGTGTGTGATCATGAGTTCGATCCCCAGTACCAGGAAAAAAAATGAAGAAACATGAGGTGATAAAAAATTTAAACTGTTTGAAACTTAATGTCGGGGGCTGGGGATTTAGCTCAGCGGCATAAGCACCTGCCTTACAAGCAGGCGGTCGTGAGTTTGATCCCCGGTACCGATGATAAAAAAAAAAAAAAAAAAAGAAAAAGAAACTTAATGTCTTTTTTCAAAATAAAATTAAATGAACTTTCCTAAAGTTCATTAGCAGTTTCTGACTCACCTTAACCTTTCTTGCTGGAATATTTTTATGATTAATATTTCATTATAATTCACAGGATTACTAAGGATGTTGGGATACACCTATAATCCCAGCACTTTAGAGGCTGAGGCAGGAATATTGCAGTGAGTTCAAGACCAGCTTGGCCTATACATAAGTGAGTTCAAGGCCAGCCTGGGCTACATAGTGAGACCCTGTCTCAAAAAATAAAAACAAAAAGAACAAGAACAAAATTACTATCAACAGGAGCATCTACAAGAGGTTGCCACCATTAGTGGGCCACGATATCAATTCAGTGGTTACTGATTAGTACTGCAGTGACAGTACGACACAGAAAAAGGGGGTCAAAGAGAAGAGAAAATATCAGAGGCCGTGAAAGGTAAATAAATATTTTTAAGTAAAACTTGTGCTTAAGCAGAAATGTTTGTACTGTGCTGCAATATAAAAGTACATTTCTAATTGGGTTGAACCTACCTCCTTTTGAGGTGCTGTTTGGCTGAGGTCTCATCTTGAAACACCCTGTTGGATCCTATTTTAACGCTGTTATTGTACATAACCACTGGTGCCACTCATCTACTGGACTTCTCTACATGGTGGCTCTGCTCGGTACCCACTGCCCCTTGCCACTGCTCTTCATAGAGCATCAGCTCTTTGGAGCCCATTTAGTCCTTTAATACTTTTTGTTTAGCCATTTCTGCTTATAGAAATGGAAATCGGAAACCAGGTGTTCTGAATCAACAGACTTAAAACATTTATATATTGCAATTACCTATTTATTAAATTTATAAATATTTTTGTTTCATATTAAAATCATCTTTTTGTATACCATTTTTTCCTTTTGAGCTTCATTATGAACTGGAAGACTTTTACAGTTCTATGAAGGCCAAATTTAAGTTATATTATTATTTATGCTGGAATTGTCATGACTTGGCCTTAGCTTGCTCCATGACCATTTACTAAATTCCCTAATGTCTTTGAAGGTATCCATGTTTTCTGTTAAGAAGAAGATGCTCCTGAACTATTCTGTTTCCCTACTATGAGATTTAAAACTGGCTATTCTTTAAAGAGTCCTCAAAGTCCATGTTCTGCCCTCAAGGATGTACAAAAACATGGTCAGCAAATGAATTATTGCTCTTTTTCTTGCACTGTTTTTTGGAATGTTTTTAAGGTTACAAGTTCATACTTATCTTTTTCATGGAACGTATATTATTATATCTTTCCTTTAAAATTTTTTTCTTATATTCAAAGTAAGATTTATAAATAATAGCACTCCCCCCCATCCACTTTATTTCAAGGATAAAAAAAGAAGAAAAAATACAACAAAATTTCAAAACATATCGATCAGGGGCAACAATGGTACACACAGTGTACACGTCACCCAGAACTTACATCTTGAAACACTGGTTCCCACTGTTCTCTTGGTCCAATGGCATCTGAACGTCCAACAACAAGTCCATCTGAATTGATACCAAGATACTTTCCATAGCCAGATTTCAGGGCAATTCTTTGGATTAATAAAACAGATAAGTATTAAAAACTGAGCAAAAAAATTAAATATGGAACTACAAACTGGGCATGTGTGTGCATGCACATATATGTATATATTATATATACACATATATGTCCAGATATTTTATATATGTAAATTATAAAATATAAAAATTCAGACTATTTCCCAAACCTTTAAAAGCTGTATGTGAAAGCTTATGTATATAGCTGACATACTGTACACTCTAGTCCTGTATATATAATTTCAGTTTCCGAATGTAAGTACTGTATTATATAGTATCTTATACTACACAACACCTAAGATGTATTCTACAGCAAATGTTTTCTGTATGTATTATTTCTCAAATATACTACTTTCAATAGATATAAATGTTCTATTATAGTTTATTAAAATTTTTTTGCCACTGCACGAAGTCTTGCTATCTTTTCTGTATATAAAATGTTAGCGGTTTAATTCACCTTGAAAAATACGTTAGTATAATTCCAGCTTAAGAATACTTACATATTTACTGGGTATTGGAATAATGTTCCATTTTTGAGTGTCATAGAATTCACTTTCAGAAAACTTATTTTTTAAGTCAGAGTTAGTACGTGGCCTCTAGTTAGCTGTACAGTGGAATTCTATAATGGTTAAAATTAAATTAACAAGAAGAAGTTACTATTTTTAGTTAAACTAAGTTTACCTGGAATCAGATAATTTGACAGCAGTAAACTGCTCTGGAGGACTAGGACCTTCATCAACTACAAGAAAAAAATTGAAAATATTTGGTCTTTTCATAAATATGCAGGTAAAGATATTCTTTGGCTTTAAAAAATGCAGTTTTTCTCCTAAAATAAATCTAAGAATATTACTTTCTCCTTGTGTTGTGACTACAAGGCACAAAGAAATAAGCACTTAAGTGTTTAAAATATTAAATGCTTTCATTTATTCAAGGAATGGCCATTGTGATTAAATGATACTGTCTTTGCTGTTTATTTCATACTTCATTAGTGCTTCCCCTATTATCTAACAGAACATGAAAATCTAATTGTAAACTATTCCTAGGCTAGTGTTGGCCAAAGGCCTAAAGAAAACAGAAATTCAAAGTTCTGATTCCACCAGATTTTCTTTTCACTTACTAGTTTTCTTTTTCCTTGAGACAAGGTCTTGTGCTGACCTTGAACTTGCTTATGTAACCCAGGCTGGCCTCAAACTCATGGCATCTTCCCGCCTCTGTCTCCTGGGTATTAGGGTTACAGGTCTGTACCACCATGGCAACTTCCCACCTCAGTCTCCTGGGTATTAGGATGACAGGCCTGGACCACCATGGCATCTTGCCACCTCAGCCTTCTGAGTGTGGGATTACAGGCACGCAGTCCATGCCTGGCTTCGCTTACTGTTTCATTACAATATTTATATTGTTTTTTATTTACACAGATATTCTCTCACTGGACACACTGTTTTCAAATGCTTACACTGGAAAGAGGGAGTTGCCATGAGGTGGTAAATATGCAAAAAGGAAAGAGGTGGAAGGGTCCAGTGCAATAATTCCATTCCTTTAGACCATGCTGAAACATAATTATGGTGGGGCTGAGTATGTGACTACCATAAAACCTATCTTTTAAGTGCCTTTCCTTTTTCACTGTTTCTATCAAACACCAACCTTCTTTATGTGGTGCTCCCAGTGTAAAAAGACCATTGTCAAGCGCATGGATATAGGTTCCTTTATCCATTTCAATGGCGATAGTTCCTGAAATGTCACCGAAGTTGGCTACTGTCCACCATATTCCTTAACAAAACAAAACAAAACACCAGTACTTATTAAATATCTTACTTTTTACTTGACACTTCTCCCATCAGTGCTGAGGACTGAATGCAAGGCCTCATGCATCAAGGCAAGTATTTCACCACTATGACTGCTCGGCTGGCTCTTTTGTTTTGGGACAGTGTCTCACTAGGTTGTCAGGCTATGATCCTCCTGCCTCAACCTAGGAAGCAAGGTTACAAATCACTGTGCTCAGCTGTTATGATTTATTTTTAAAGCCTTTTATTTTACAATTGTAAGAAATAACACAGAGATCTCATTTACCCTTTAGTTGCTTTTTCCTAACACTAATGTACCACATACCTCATATAGCCTCAAATCCAGGAAACTGATATTGTGATACGATTCACGAACCTTACTTAGATTTCACTAGTTTTTTTTTTTTTCTTCCTTTTTTTCTTGGTTTCTGGTTCTGGAGATGGAACCTAGGACCTCACACAGGCGAGACAGGGGTTTCTACTGTTGAACTACATCCTTAGCCCTTTTTATTTTCTCCCTCAGTTGCCCAAATTGGCCTTAAACTTATCACCCTACATCAGCCTCCTGAGCAGCTGAGATTACTAGCTTATGCCATCATACCCAGCTTTGATTTCACTGTTTACATGACTATTTGTGTCTATGGGGTAGATTCATGTGATTAGCACTACAGTCAAGATTACATTCATTTTTAAACTATAAGCTAGTAATACATATAAAGGTACAAAGTGATACAAAGAGAACAGTCTCTTATTCCCGACCCTAGCCATCTATTCATGACTGCTTTCCAGTGGTAATATAAATTGTTTCTGAAATATCACTACAAAAAGAGGTACTCTTTGTTGGCAAAGCTGTATTTCTCCCTTTTCCATAGGGGATATACTCCAAAATTCTCAGTAGATACCTGAAACTGGCTAGTACCAACACCTATATACTTGTTTCTTCTTACACATACCTATGATAAAGCTTAATTTATAAACTAGGCAAATAAATAACAATAAAATAAAAATTACAATAATACAATAAAATTCTATAAATATAGTCTCCCTCTCTTCTGCACTTTAAGGAAACACTTTATGGTTTCTCTGTGGCATTTCCAAATTGCAAGCATTGTTGTTGTTATTATTATTATTACTATTGGTATGGGGGATAGAATTCATCACTTTGCACTTGCTAAGCAGGTGCTTACACCACTGAGCTAAATCCCTGGCTCCTGTGAGCATTATTATTATTGTGCTTTGGGGCCATTATTAAGTAAAGTAAAGGTTGCTGAAAACCAGCACTGATAATCAGCATGACAGTCACCCAAGTTGGCTACTAAGTGACTAATAAGCAGTAGCTTACACAGTATGAATCTGTCAGACCACGGAATGATTCACATATGTGTAGGAGGATGACAGATTTGATCATGCTACACAGAATGGCATGCACTTTAAAACTCATTATACTATTGGAATTTTCCATTTAGTATTTTGAGACAATGTTTGACTATAAATAGCTGGAACCATGGAAAGGTATTACTCTAGACCTAAGTATGATTTTAGATAAGAGGCAATATGAGAATCTATGTCTATGAACACTAACATCTAAAAATCTACAGAATAAAGATAGAATCAAATTATTTAAGGAATCTTTATAGAAGTTCGTATTTTAACAAAAAAAGGCCCCATCTTCTGGACTGTACTTTGCTAAAATGAATCAATCTTTATATAACACTTAATAATTAGATAACATTAAGGAATTTCTGTTAATTTTGAAGGTTTGTCAACTTGAGAAGTTTAGAAGATTAAGTAACTCAATAGGGGGCTAGGGTGCTCACTATGTAAATATCCTCATTCTGTGCAAGGGGAGGGCATGGAGATAAATGCCCCTAGGGAGGCTGGTAGGCTTACAATGTAAGCAGGCAGAAGAGGCTTTTTCTCCCCTGTTGTTTTTGCTGTCTTCTGGTTCCTTGAACTGCTGCTCCAGTGCCATGCCACACTGCTGGAGCTAGCTGATTATGGACTGAAAATAAATTCTTCCACTTCCATAAATTGTGAGCTAAACAAATCTTTCCTACCTTAATTTTGGGTGCTGAGTATTTTGTCTTAGCAATGAGCGAAAAATAACTAAGACAGTTTGATAATGGTATAGTGTTAGATATAAAAACATTTGTATTATTCAGAAATCTTCACTTAAAAAGTTTTTAAAAATTGAGCCAAACACACTACACATAAGTACCTATGCAGGTAAACACTTCAGGCTTTTCTTTGACTTATGGCTTTCAAAACTAATTTGAAATATTAAAAGTACCTATAATGAACTATAATCTATTTAAAAACAAAAACAACACTACACAAAACTTTTAGAGGAAAACAAAAGATTCATAACATTGGATTTTGCACTGATTTCTTGGATGTGACATGAGAAGCACAGACAACAGAAAAAAATAGGCAAATTGGACTTTACGAAAATTTTGTGTATCAAAGATCAACTTTAGCATGGAAAAAACCCCACAGAATGGGAAATTTGCAAATTACTTAATAACGAACTAATATCCAGAAAATATGCTCTAAATAACATAAAAGTGGGCAAAAATATGTATGCACATAAAAAGATGGTTATCACTGTCTTAAGAATATTATAATTAATGATTTTAAACTTTTTGCACTTGCTAAGTTTTGTGTCAGGTTAACCAAATATACTTCATTTGTTTTTTTTTTGCAATGCTGGGGACTGACCCTAGACCCTCCTACATCCTAGGGAAGCATTATACTATTTAGCCACATCCCCAGCCTATATTTAATGTTAAATAAAGTATCAACAGTAACTTGTAGAGTAAGAAGAAATTTCTAAAGACAAGCTCTACAAAATTTTTAACCTGTAGCTAAGTAGGAAAGTAATACATTACTCATAACATTTTGAACAACTAAAGTGATCTTGAGCAGACGCCTGTTAGGGTAACCCTTGAGAGTTCAAGTGGCCCAAGCTCAGCAGTATGCTTATAGGTTTAAGGATTCAACACCTGCCAGTATCATGCTGGGGGTTGCAAGTGCCAAACAGCCATAGACACTAAGAATGTGGATACTGAAGTCGCCTATCCCAGTCAGTTAAAGCTTAAAGCTTTGTATATGTGCCACAGACAATGAAGCTGAATCTGAGAATTTGTTCCAACACCATACTTGGTATTTAAAAAAAAAACAGACAACAACAGCAACAACATACACAGACAAGCTTAAATTTGTATCTGCTTATGGCTTCTGCAGGCTGTTATATTGCAGCTGCATAGTCTTACAACATTTAAAATTTGTCACATTCTTCAGCTTTTTATTGTTTAGAAAATAAAGTTTGTGAGGGTAAGGACCAGAACTCTCTTGTTTAGAGGTATCTGGAGCAAGGAATTTATACTTTATAAACATCAAACCTAAGAATGTCTCAGTATAAAAGTCACCACAATAGCTAAAGTATCATCATGGTTGTCATTCTTTATAGTATTAAGGCTACTGCAGATACTGAAGGATGGACCTACATGTGACGGGCCCATTTTGTGGCTGACGGATGAATGGCTCTCCCACAGTGTTTCTCAAAGTCTCATGCTGATGCCTACACATCCGTGAATCCCTCTGAGAGGAAAACAGAGAGGCTGTGTGACAGCTTACCTCATCTTCTGAAGGGCCCAGGACCTCTCTGCTAAAACAGTGCCCTTCCATGTCTACTATCATTATGACCTGTCACAATGGCACGATGCATCTCAGCTTTGAAAATGGAATTTCCTTCCTGTATAGTAATACAGTCTATACACTGTATAATTTTTGCCGATTCACAAATCTGGTTTTAGATTCTGGGCAAAACAAGTTACCTAGGAATTTCACAAACTATGCTAGTGAAATGTGAATCTTTTAGAGCTTTCAATGATAACAACAGCCCGCTGAGGCACACATGCCAAAGGTTCACCACCACTGAGCCATGTTATTATACATCCAGTTGCTTGAAAATCTTTCCTTGAAAACACAATCTTTTTCATTGCTGTCCAAATCTGATACTGTTCATGTGGAAGGCAGAATTTCTTTCATTCTATTTGCCAATCCACGCTGGCTTAGGCCTTACTTTTAGGGCCTGTACAGAATCCATAGATCAGCTTTAAAATATTAGAGTTTTCTTCTTCCAGAAATAGGTACATGCTTACTTCTGTGTCAAGTTTAGACAACTGTAATGTAAAAGAAGGTAAGAAGCAAAAAGAAGACACAGAAGAACTTTCTATTCAGCTAAGTCAGAATAACTGGTATCTAACTTGCTTTCCCACTACAAACAACTAGGATACCAGACAGAACATATGAGAAAAATATTTTTAGGCAATGAAACATGAGAGCAGCACTGTACTCTTTGAGAAAAGGGAAATCTGTGAGGTGAACTTCAGAATCACTGGTTTTCTGCCTAATGGCAGTTTTTTGTCGACAGGGTAGGGAGACAGAAGCCCAGAAAAAGACAATTCAGCTGAGCTGAGGGTTGAAGTGCCAAAGTGACTGGAATTTATAGAGCAAGGTATTGAAGAGAGGGAAGTACACTGATGGGGGCAGGGGGCAAAAGGTGTATGTGAGGATTCTCTGCAGGGCTTGGGCCAAGGCCAGCTTGTGTTCATAGTGGGCAAACTGACAGGGTAGTCACTGCTTGTGAGAGCTGACCAGCAATACCAGAGGTGTCGGGAATGTAAGAAACACACTAAGAGTATATTTTTTGGTGGGAGTGGGTACTGGAATCAAACTCAGGACCTTGTGCTTGCCAGGCAGGTGCTTGTGCTGCTAAACTACACACATCCCTGGCCCTACTAGAGTGGATTTAACACTTGAATAAATTTTATGCATTTAGTTTAGGCCCTATAAGGACTACTTCCTGGAGTAAGAGCCACAAATGACCTGGATTCAATATAATTCTCGCGCAAAAATCCAACTGACTTGTTTTTATAAAACTTAATAAACTAATATTAAATTTTTTCTGAAAATGTGTAAGAC